TTGATTATAATATCATTAGACTGGATCCTTTCCCGAACGATCGTTTGCAAATAGTTGTTTTAATAGTTGTTGTTGTTAATAGTTGTTTTAAATGTTATACAATTGGAAACCATGCCCTTTTTAGATTCAGGGCTAAAATTCTATTTTAAACTTGGGGACCTTATTGCGAGTGATCAGTTTGTAATCATCCGTTAAGGTACGACTTTAATTTTGTCGGATGACTCAATTCATACGTTATCTTATTACGCACTCATTGATTATCTTTAATCGCCTAATCACTTAAGGGGGCATACACCAAAACAGTGGTTTGTGCCGTCCAGACCAAATGACCTCATAGGCAGTTCAGTGACCTTCTAGCGCACCGTTTCCACACCAAAAAAAATTATTTTGAGAATACCCATTTTTGTAATCGAGCATTTCCTGGTTAAGAGTGCAATTTTCGGAAAAAATTATTTTGTGGTTGAGACGCTATAAGTTAATCATTTCTTGCAGTATCGGGTTGAAATTTTGCTCGCCGTTTATTCACATCTATTTCAAGGTGTGTGTAAAATCTTGATATCGTATCTAAAAAGGCTGGTGTGTTATGAATTTTTAAAGTCAAAAAGCTAAAATTGTCCTTTTCAGGCTTATTTTAACAAAAAGTCAGTCAGGGAAGATCGGATTTTTTGATGCTTGACACCAAATTGTTCTCTGAATTCTGGCGCAGTTTTTGATGCCCTCAAAAATGTTTTTACTCATTCACCTTCTGATCTATTGGACCTCAAAGCCAAACAACAAATTTAGGCACATTTTTCGTTTTTAATATTTACTGATTTTTCTAAAATTTTGATAGGAATGTGCTAGTGACTTTTTGAAGGGTGCAAAATGACCGCAACTAGCACATTTATATATGAGTTATGAACAACAAAACACCCTAAAATGCTTCCCTTTGAAGTTATGGGAGGAAATGTGATTTTTTATCTGCAAAGCCAAAAAATCACATTTTCTCCCATAACTTCAAAGGGAAGCATTTTAGGGTGTTTTGTTGTTCATAACTCATATATAAATGTGCTAGTTGCGGTCATTTTGCATCCTTCAAAAAGTCACTAGCACATTCCTATCAAAATTTTAGAAAAATCAGTAAATATTAAAAACGAAAAATGTGCCTAAATTTGTTGTTTGGCTTTGAGGTCCAATAGATCAGAAGGTGAATGAGTAAAAAAATTTTTGAGGGCATCAAAAACTGCGCCAGAATTCAGAGAACAATTTGATGTCAAGCATCAAAAAATCCGATCTTCCCTGACTGACTTTTTGTTAAAATAAGCCTGAAAAGGACAATTTTAGCTTTTTGACTTTAAAAATTCATAACACACCAGCCTTTTTAGATACGATATCAAGATTTTACACACACCTTGAAATAGATGTGAATAAACGGCGAGCAAAATTTCAACCCGATACTGCAAGAAATGATTAACTTATAGCGTCTCAACCACAAAATAATTTTTTCCGAAAAGTGCACTCTTAACCAGGAAATGCTCGATTACAAAAATGGGTATTCTCAAAATAATTTTTTTTGGTGTGGAAACGGTGCGCTAGAAGGTCACTGAACTGCCTATGAGGTCATTTGGTCTGGACAGATTTGGTGTATGCCCCCTTAACATTCAAGTAATTTGAGTAATGCAATAAATCTATGTCCCTAAGCTTAAGACTAAAGTCAAATATTAGTGTCGTCGCGACGTCGCTTATTATTTCTTTTTAATTTTAAAGCTCTGACACCTTTCAACGTTTAATATTGTAAGCTTTTAACTGATTGTTATCTAAAACATTCAACAATTTGATTGATTTGCTCGCTCCAGTTATATAACAGTATAACCTTGGCTCGTGGTTCTGCAGTAATATCTGATTTGTTGTTCACACAGGCTTGGCTTGTTCAGTATAATAAAGTTTGACAATTTACGTCCCAAAATAGAGCTGACCCTTTCACAACTGATTACCCTTCTCTAAAATGGTGTTTGTAGATGACTTCTTTTTATTATGGACCTCGATATCGAGCGTGCTAAATCACTGTACAGTCGATCTTCAAGATTATTCTAAAAGGGCCCCCGATGGTTGTAACCAACTTCAATCGATGTATTTTCGGACGCTGATTCCTAATCACCCCCCATGACATATGGTTAAAATGCTCTCGTGACGAGATATTGGCGAAAAACTGTATCGATCACGTGATATGACCGTATAACTATAAGGAAGTTAGCCTAATTTTTCGTTAGGGCCAGAGTTTCAGCATATGTTTTTGTTAAGGATTGGGTTAGGGTTAGGGTTGGGATCAGATTAGAGGGTTAGGGTTTCGAACAGTCGTTCAGAACCAGCTAGAGAACGGGTTGAAAAGTCACGTGACAGTCGAGTGTAGAGTGATTAATCATCATCCCCTCAATATATATTGGTTTGTTAGTTTGTGAGTGATCCATATTTTTGCTATTGTCATGTTTTTTGCCGATCGTTTCGTCTAGATAGCAATAGATGTGAATTATCGTGGGGAATTAGTTAAAGTGAGGCAGTGCAGCGTAACGAAGGGCCCGCTGACCCCGCCGTACGGGGGGCCATCTTATTCTTAGGGGCCGGGCGCAAAACATTTTAGAGATTTTACCGGCGTATCCTCTAAAATCACCTAATTTAGTCCAACAGGTAACTTTACGCCACTGAAGTGAGGCACATTTGTTTTCTTTGATAGTAAGGTTCTGTTCAGCACTAGTCAGAGGTAGAACTAGACAAAGTATAGATAACCAAAACCACAAAACAATCGCAATAAGTATTACAACTGAATTAAATTTATTCTGAATGGCTGGCAGCTGCATGTACTGCTCCGCGCGGGATCCCGATCAGCGACCAATAGTAATAGAGGCATAGTTGGTTTGTGCGTCAACTTTGGGGAAAGGTGCGTAAAGTGCACGTTATGGTCTGTTAGTGCGTTAAAGTGCGTTCGCCTTACATATTGCAGGCGATCCTGGGTTTGGATATACACAATTAAAACGACCTTTATCATATAATCCTCTTACTCTCTTAAGACTTAACGTGTCATGTAATACTATTTATATTCTTTATAACATACTATATAGTACTGTATCTTGGGAAACATTGTATTGATTCCGTTTGTTGCGACAAGGAAAAGGTTCTTATCAGGAAATAAATTATTTGATGTTTCGACAACATCGTATTCATAATCTCAAATTATTTGTTTTAATATAGTTTTTCTCAGGTTGAATTATCTAACAGAGTAGTATATAAATATAACGTTGCCTTAGACGATTATTTTTGTTCACACGACGCAACACTTAGTCTTAAGTAACAAGTCTTACATAATTTCTTAAACTGAGTTTCATGACAATTAAAAATGTAAAGTTATCCTCATAGAATGTTTTACAATTGAATGGGAAGGATGATTAGGGCTTGTTTAGCTGATGTTGAGCTTACATTCTTACATTATAAGATTGCAACAGGTCGTGTGTATAAACGACTAATATAATGACTATAATTATAAAGGGACTTAATTTCAATCTGTTGAGCGAGGGCTTTCGATTCGTGGCATCATATACTGATTATATCAAACTTCTTAACTTTTAACCGTTCACATTTTGCACCGGTGGACAATTTTACGTCCTATTTTTAAGAACATTTTAAAGAGAGCCCAATTTTTAAATCAATCAATATCAAAAACTACATGTATATGGTATGATACCTTGCACTTGACTCTTCTGGTCCGCTTTTCCACAAAAAAGGTTCAGAGCTTTCTGGATTACATGCTTGTTATTATAATGCCTGGTATTGTTCTGTTTGTGTACTGTATAAGTTTATTTGGTGCGAATTGAAGTCGTTTCGTGCGTAAAGTGCGTTGTGTTTTAAAAGTGCGTAGAGTGCCTCGAACCAACTATGAATGAAGGTGTTAATGTCAAGTGACGCCGATCCGTCCAATCACGAACAGGAAAAGCGAGCAGACGCGGATATCATATTATGTTTACTTTCCTTATTTGTATTTAATCCTCTGTTTACATCGTTACCACAGCTTGGCTTGGCAATTTCGAAATTCGAGTTGCTATCTGCACCGTACACACGCCATGATTACGTCATAAACAATAGTTTTTAGACATTTCTCTCTGAAAATTATGTTAATATCTGTTCGATCAGTTAAGGTGACGATTGCCTTAATATTTCGGTTTCAGCTTAATTACTTGTTGCTCGTATTAACTGTAAAACATCACTTTGAGGGATACGGAAGTGTTTGTCATAGTTGGTCAGTTCGTACAAAAGTCCTTAAAAATTCGTACAGTTCGGCACCTTTTTTCAGTTCGGGATTAGTTCGGGAAAAATTCGCCTCATAAATTTTCGAAAAGCTAATTCCAAAAATCTTATAATTTGAAATATGAGGGGTTTAAGTTTTGGGTTTTAACCAATGATACAAATTGTATAACTGAAGTATTAGTAAGCATGAAAATCACTTCTCAACTTTATTAAGGAAATCATTGCACATGCAATAAGTCACATCAACTTTGCTATCAGTATCACCTAAACTTGTAGTGTCCGACTCAGAAACCTGATTTAACAGTTTGAGGTTTGAATGTTTCGGACTGAAGTGATTAAAAAACAACATTTTTTCCTTAAAATTCGGTAAAAATTCCTCGACAGCTTTTTTAAATTCGTACTGTTCGGCACCTTTTAAAAGTTCATACAGTGCGTACTGACCAACTATGGTGTTTGTTGGTTCTAAAACCTCGATTTCTCGTGCAATTTTAGGTCAGGAACCTAGACATAAAAATGAGTTAAACAAGGTCGATTTCTCAGTTATTTTTAAGCTTTCGTTCAGAAAATAAATCTAAACCTCCAAAGGGGGGTAACAAGAGGGCCAGGGTAGCAGCAGTTACAAGCGTTACAAGCGTTACAAGCGTTACAAGCGTTTCATAACACAAAATGTGCATCACCTCTCTCTTGTGCTGAACAGAACCTTACACTCTTACAGTTACTATTAAAGTAAACAAATGTGCCTGACTTCCCCACGAGATTCCACATCTATAGACTTCACGAAGATCAATCCCCTCAGCTCCTTTTAGCATTTCTTGATAATGTTCTCGATATTTTAACTTCCTCTGTAAGTAATTCTATCGGATTCCGTCAGTATTCACATCTGGTCCATGTCAGTGAATATTACATCTCTCCTACCAATCCTGGTGGTGATTTTGACTCTCTACCATCCAGTCTCCAGTTTCACAACTTGTACAAACTATTTTAACGGGGTAGAGGATACCAGGTGATAATCCTTCTTTCATTTTTTGTCGTAACTTCCAACTTTATTATTTTCCTTCTTTATTATTTCCTTTATTATTTTCCTTCTTTATTATTTTCCAGCTGTCCTCAATTAATCTGACAACCTTTTCCCACAGAGAGTGTGTATATGCCTGCTGTTTTGACGGTGGTAGCTTCTCTATAAATCTGAAAGATACGGAGGTTTGCTCTGATGAAAACCAGAAATGTCTCTATGATAAACCTACAATTCCTACCAGGTCATTTTCAATAATTATAAGTAAAAAAATCATGTTTTGATACATTTTTACGACAGTGTTCCATTTTGGACAAGATTTGTTTGGAAAACCAAAAAACGGTCTCCAAACCAGGTATAATGAATAAAGTAATCAATGCCAAAAACTTCGTGGATATAATATAATGGCTCACGGAACTGATCAATTTCCTTGTGAGTGATTAATCCAACAACCATGTCAGCTGTCCGATAAGAATAAACAAAGAGTTGGAAATGTTTGGTTGTGGTGTTGGCGTTGCTTGCTGTTATCCACTGAACGGACCAGTGCCAGAGTTTAAACACCGAATTCCAAGCAAGAATGCTGTTTGTAGCACTACAGACGGTTAGTTCGTTTATATGTTGTAGGCAATTAATGTTGTGATCACTAACTCAATTTATGTTCCCTTTCTGTTTTTATGATCTTAATTATGCCTTCTGCTAAAGTAAAATATTTTTAATGTTTTTAACGATCAAAATGAAATTATGATTTGACACAAGCTATGAAGTATTGTTGGTAACAAGGTAAGAAACAGTTCCACTTTTCCAGGCAACTGTATAAAGTACGGACCAGATGGTTTTGACATATGGGGTCTGATCGATCTAAAGAAGGATAAAGATGACTATCTGACTACGGAAGATGTCTACTGCTACGAGAACTGCATGTCCGATATTAACTCTAGTTTTGACGGCCTTGAAATCGGAGATCTCTCCGGCCTCAATTGGCGTAAGTAATAATACATGTTATAATTTGCGTTTGACTACCGAATAATCGAATCAAATTAGACTCATAAATGTCTATCTTCATACATCAGCACCATCAAATTCAATTAACCCGAATTTATAATAATTTATTTTCAGCATCATGCTCAAACGAAACCGTCGGCTCATGCTCAGCTACTACTGAAGAAGTATGCCTTTTTCTCGACATAAGCTCCAAAGCAGACATGACTGTCCCAACACCACAAGGATTGATCAGTCAGCCGGGTGACCTTGGCATCAGAGCCTTTTACTGCGGCACATTAGAGGATGATATCAAACCAGAAAACAAGTGCAATAGTGTCAAGGAACAGTTTACCAGTCTGTCTGATACACTCTACGCTGTTTCCACGATTGAGTTAAAAAACTTCCAAACAGATTGTGGCAAGTTGGACGTGTGTAAAGAGAATTGTGTGTCTGAGAAGCACAGACCAAAGAAAGACAAAAGAGGACTGGCATGGTGGGTAATATTGTTAATAGTTCTCTCTCTCCTTCTGTTGATAGTTATTATTACAGCATTGGTTATTCTTCTGGTTAAGCTTTGCAAAATAAAGCGCAGTCAATCCTATAGACGATGAAGCCGGCATTTTCAGTAGAGTCGGATTACCCTTTATGATTCACCCTTTTTGAAAATCAAAACGAACCAGAACTATACTCTGAGTCTGATATTTTTTAAATACTGAGATTCTTTTCCGGAAGTTCAATGATTTATTTTTATTTTTTAAATTAATTTAAAAAATTGTATTTTAATCAGGAAAAGTACTTAATGTGATTACAGTTCAAAGTGCAATATTGTTATTATTCTTATAAGATTAAAAATGTATAAATCATCAATACAAACTCTGGATCTGATGTTACTGAAATTCCTGAGTAATAAATTGCAGCTTAATCTGTGTTCAGAAGGGGTAGACTAAATTTGTCGTTCTTAATCTTAATGTAAATGGAATGGAAAATGGTCTCGAAAAGTCGAAAAATGTGACTAAAATTGTTGTAGACTAAAAATTTGCAAAATTAGTGACTAAATTTATGGTAACCAAAATTATTGGCCCTAAGGTATTCATTTATTGCTGTACTCTAAAACGGATTAAACGATTCAAAAGTCAAATTACAATGTAATGTCTGACCCAATATAAAAAGTAAATTTACCCAAAAGTCAAAAAGTATATATGTATATAGTCTTGTATACAAGACTAAGAGGATGAGAATAAAATTAAATCCACTATAAAGCTATAATAAACAAAAAATAATCTCCTCAAATCTTCAAAATGAGATTTAATTTTCTAAAAATTTAAATAAACTCTTATAAAAGTGTCTTATATTAGGCAATATTGTTATTCTTAGGAATTTGTTTAGGGGATCTTCGCGCACCCTACAACCGATGGTTATAGGGTGTACGAAGATCTCTCCAATATCATAGAGAAGAGTAATGTTTTACTTTGTGGGGACAAAAAGTGATGGAAATCTTCATAGAGAGGGCAAGTGCGCAATACATGAAGCTCATCTTCGATGATTGGGGAAAGGAAGCTCTAGAAGAAGGTCGAGTGACTCCTCATCTGTAGTAGAACAGTGTTTACATATCCTATTCGAAAGTTTATGGCGATGCATGCACCGTGTCTTCCTGTTTCGGTGTTGTATTGATGCGAGCTTATTCTGAGTTGCGCAAGTCTCCTAGTCTGCTGTGGCCGTATGTTGATCGACAAGTATGTTTCGCAACCGAAGCTTACCTTGATGAGGTTGTAGAATCCTAATTTTCTGTTGAGTTTTCGCTCTTTGTGCCATTGTTGGTTTTCATAGCCTCGCTGATTTTATTAAAAGTATTTAATAAAAAATGTTAAACATACACATGCAGGATACAAATTTAAATTTTGTGGTATAATATTTTTGATACATCATCACTTATTATTTACATAACATTATTATGGCAATGATTAAGTTTGATTTTGAATTAAACCCTTTCGGATTTCATTTTGAATTTAGCTAAACTAGAATTAAAATGTTTACAAATAAAAGTGAAAACTGAAGTCGCATAACTGTAAAGCTGTTAAAAAATTTCCGTTTTCAAATTTAAATGTTTGAGTTTCAATTTTATGTCAATCAAAAACACTTTACCTACTCGGGATTATTACGACGGGTTTATTAACGACCGGTTAAAATATGGTTCGGGAAAAATATGGCGAAATTGCTCAAAACCCACCACATTTTCCCGGTCGCCATTTTACCGGTGTCCAACCTTTCAATTTTAGATTCAAAAATGTTGTCTCAGATGTAAATTTCCTTATTAGAGATAAGCAAATTTAGAAATTTTCGCATTGCTAAAACTTGTGAAACAAGTCGAATTATCAATAATTGTTGAAAGTAGACAGAAATAATGACTCGTGGTTAATCAAACTATAGATGGAAAATAATTTTTAACATTAGATGCGTAACAACCAGATCGATATTAAGATAAAGGGAGAGCTGTTTAGTCTTCCAATAAGTTGTAATCATCTTCGTTATCTTCATCTGGATCATCCCTTTCATCATCCCCCCTTTTCTGAGCCTGGAACTCGTAATCATATGCCGCTCTTAGGAGTACCTTCATTTTGTCAGCTAAAGGTGCGACAGCTTTGAACGTTGCCTTTAACTTGATTTCCAACCCCCCACTTGGTATAGGAGATCTCCTGGGCACCATATCTTCAACAACCCCACTTATCTCTCCGCCGTGCATCAAGAAGAAATGGCATAACTTACTTATCTCCAACGGCACGTGGCCAACAGTCACTAAAATTGGAGCCACTAAACCTCGTGTTTTGAGCCGATTGGGCAAAAAGGTGAATTTTTTGCAATTTTAGCCAAATGAAGTCGAAAAACCTACAAAAAGTGTCCCAATAGTCTTCTTTAGTGAATATAAGACAACGATTAAAATATGAGCACCCATGATACCCCTTGGGAACCCTAAAAGCTGAGTCGGCGGGTTTATTAACGACCGGTGAAAATGTGGCTCGGGAAAAATATGGCGAAATTACCCTAAACCCGCCACTTTATCCCGGTCATGATAATCCCGAGTAAGGTATTTTCTATTTAGATATGGGTACGCATTTCTTTTATGGGTGGCCACTCAATTTCACGATCTATAGCGTATTTTTGTCACTTCTATGCAGTAACCTAGTAACCAGTTCTAGTAACCAGTTCTAGTAACCTAGTCACCAGTTCTAGTAACCTAGTAACCAGTTTTAGTAACCTAGCTCTAGTAACCAGTTCTAGTAACCTAGTAACCCTCAATAGTCGATAAATAACTTTTTAGCCTGCACCTCAAAAGCCTCATGACATAAGATCGCGATTTAATGGCACCCAAATAAACGTATTACAGATATCTGTTACACACCTCAGGTCGAGTGAATTTATAGAATATTAGGACTATGTAAGCGGTTACTGTCTACTCATTATGGCATGATAACTTTCTTGATCTACGGCTTCCTCGTTCACTTCTTCGGAGTTATTATTTACCTCCACATCTTGTAAAAAGTTTACACTGAAATGCAGGACTGAGGCAGTGATGCACGCCGGTTCATTTTTCGCCAACCGGCGGCGGCGTGCCCAAAATGGCCCGGCGTGGCGGCGTTCGGCGGCGTGGAACATAATTTTGTCAAAATTTAGGTTTGAATTTCCAGGCCCACAAAAATTGTGGCGTACGTGCGCGCATGAAATAATGATGTAATAAGTGTAGTTTTTACAGCATTAAAGTGGCTGAATGTGATGATGAACGTAACGAAGTGGCCTCATAGCAGCGAGTAGCCCCATAAAATACGACATCCACCCGCTGAACTACAATTATCAATGCTACCATCAGAAAACTCTAATTTGTACTTTCATGAGTATAATGACTTTAATAGTATCAGTAGAGGCTCTTACGGGCAAAAAGACGTGTATTCTGCTACGAGTTTAGAGACCTAACCGCTAATTAGACACAATAGTATGATGTCTAAGGATCGATAATATGTTAAGAAGTATAAATTTGGCCTTATTAGTCACGTGATATACCAATGCGCGTTTTAAACTTTGACAGTATATTACTCTAAGGCAAATAGAGTAATTATATTCATATTTTGTCAGCAATAAGATCACATTATTTTGTATTTGGTGTGAAAATATGAGCTAGAACGGACATAATCTCGCTGAGTTATAGCTGTTTGAAATTTATGATGAACGCGCGGGTGCTAATTGATAACAACTAAATGCTTTTGCGCGTAGTGCGCGTCGAAAATTTGGCAAAAACGCATGCGGAGTGACAATTTTCAAACTTCGATAAAGTATATGAAATGGGTACTTCTCGGAAAGGAAAAATTTAGGCAAACACGATGTGACTATTTTTGGGTTGATTTAATACAACTGCAAAAAATTATTCAAACTTCAAGCAAAAAAGTCAAAATTTTTACCACTTTTTTGGATTTTCACCTGCGCTAAAATAGAGGGATTTGTTTTATTTTTATACCATCTTGTGCGGCTGTCTTTTAGCTATCTTCATGTAAGTTTAGCCGACATGCCAACAAAATTAACTTGCTCAAATTATCAAAAAACATGGTTTTTTGGCCTATTTTTGGCCTAAAAATCGGTTTTTTGCGATTTCAACCGCGCTAACTCAGTCCAATCATCTTGAAACCACTTTTAATCGATTCTACGGTCAAAAATACGTCTAGTAAGGTGTATCTGGGGCCCCTAGCGTATCAAGCAGCCAATGCCCGTAAGAGCCTCTACTATAAGTGTTACAATACCTGGAATCAATTTTGTAACATGACCTAATTTTGTTAATTCCTGTTAATTCTAATTCCTGTTATGTTTCAATAAATAGGAATGTTCATATTAAACGGCTAATACAAGAAAAAGGTCTTCCTTTTGTTAAAAGAAAAATTATTCAGTTTACTCAGTTACATTCAGGGATGACTTCACATTGTCCCAATTATATTTAAGAAAAATCAAATTCTTAACATTGTCGCTGGAAAATTTGGATCTCCTAGAGTTCAAAATCGACCCCGGCTCCATACTCTTTCTATTTCAGAACTAGTAGCTGGTATGTGCCCTAAAATTATATTTTTCTAAATTGTATCGTCCAAAAAAATTTGCTTTGAAATTTTTTTAAATTTTCACACCACGCCGACTTGAGAGGTATCGGCGTGGCGGCGTGTGAAAATGTGCCGGCGCGGCGGCGTCCGGCGGCGGCGTGCATCACTGGACCGAGGTACTGGTCAAATAAACAATTGTTTTAAAAACGCAGGTTTTACTGATGCTTTAGGCATGAAATATTTAATGCACGATAACCCATTTGAGGAAGATGACCTGTGATGTGATCATAAAATCTGGTCATATTTCGTATCTGTTGTTTTTACACAAGTTTCATAATCATAGACACTGATCTACAGATATTTTGACATTTTTTACTGCTTAACGACTGCCTTTCTTGCTCATTGTATGAAAAATTAGTTTACAAATTATTTTAAAAACGCCAAAACAAAGATGAAAAAATGTGCATTTTTGAAGGTTTTGAATGCCTTCATTAAGCGTTCATTTTAATGCCTGTTCATAATTATGCCCGTTCATTTGTTTGTTTGTTTATAGAACCCGTCCCCAATCTCGTATCGGAAAATGACTAAACTCAGGTCTGAGTGTGAATACGGGTGGTACCTGCAAGAGTGTTCATTAAGCATTTAGAGTTCTGTAAAACTGCAGTTACAATTGTGCTAGAGTATTTTTAGTATATACGATTG